ATTAAACCGATCTCATTAGCAAATCCGATCGCATATTAGGGTGAAAGTTTCGCCTGCTCAATCGCTAGAACCAGAAGGACGTCAGGAAACGCTTGAAATCACTAATTCGTTCACTTGCGCATAATGTTCAAACTGGTCCTCAATGCAAGTGAACTGAACAAAGAACCTAAATTGAATTTACTTGTTAATCTTTTGATTCGAATGCTAAGCCATTTTACGTACTTCCTATTTAAAACCAGAGTAGGATGTTGAAAAATAGTTCTGTAGAGGAAATGGCTTGAAATATCCTTAGGAATCAAAACGATTATATCGGAAGTCCAAGTGCAACCAATCCCAATTATAGCCGATAGGACGGGCTCTGCGCTGTGCACTCGAGCAAAAATATTATCCGGACCCCTTTACAAACGTTGCCCTTGCAATTGCAGACTGTTACCGTGTTGCCTTTATGCACTAGTCACAGGTTACGTAAACAAGGGTATACTCGCAAACATTTACATTTAAGTGATACCCTGAAGTCAAAATGTGATGCTAATTTCAAAGAAGTGCCTGAATCTACTGAGGGAATGCTTACCTCTTGAAAACAACTAGAAATAGCAGGACGTTGGAACTGACAGGTTGTATGTTTGGCCTCATCGCCTCGTCTTTGTATTACTCGCTCTGGAGTTACTCTACTAGTTTAGGTAGGTAAGTTGATGGTAAATAAATTGTCCAAAGTAGACAACAATGGAGAAAGAATGGAATCTTACAATGTTTTCAACAGGTTTTCTTCTCAGAAATCTCATTAAAACTTTAAGGTTAGATAAATAATGTCATGTGGGCTTCTTCGTAAAGCACCTTCGGAGTGCTTCAATGGCACTATCAGCTCAGATCTTGATGTCTCTCTAATGGCCGTCCCTCCATTCCAGTGCCAAGCGGCTGCCTGTCTCATAGACATCATCCGGTCTCATTCATTCCGCTGACTTCTTCTAAGAACGTGCCTTTTTGTCTGTAATATTGTGTGCACAGCTGTCATCGTCTCCTCTAATGCAACACAAGTGATTTCTGGCCTGTGTTGCATCCAACTAACCCACTGATTTCACAAAGGTCGTAACTCACTGCTCCGTTTTTTCCCTATCTGATTACTGGTAAACTCTTACTTGATATCTTCCATGTTTCATAGTATGCATAAATATACACATATATGTATATTTTCTCGCTCTGACATCTGCCGGTCGAAGATCCATCCCAGCATCCCAACTGGTTCATGCTTGTATTCCATTTTCCCGTTGATCGAGTAGGGTTTTAATTACCGTTGCAAATGTCTCCACTTTATGAACTTGCTGTGGTTGTGGTTACGTAGCCGTCACATTGCCTGCTTGTACACCAATTAATTAACCAACATGCTGCCATTGGAGCATCTGCAAAATCCTCCATTGCTTCCTGTCGTTCTTCTTATCGGAATCCTCTCATTGAATCGGTCTGACGTTAGTGGTTCTACCTAACGTGAAGTTTATCCATCCATGGTACCGATAGCAGTTGGAGGGCATGAACGGGGTCCAGAGAACACGGTGTTAGTGGCTCACCGCCCAACAAGGTCAAACAGCTCATGAGGATATCCTGTTACGATCCTCTTCCAATATCCTTAAACTGCTTTTCCAGTTTCCAGAAGTTAGGTTGAAGATGGGGGATATATGAGAGCGAAACGACTAATATATCTAATGACTTACCGAATTTCTTGGAAATCTTCAATAAAGCTCTTTCGCAGTGGGAAGCGCTTGAAAGCAGATTTTCCAAGCGGTAGGTGCTCGCGTGGCCCACAAAACGAGGGTTTATTTTTGCTGAGCGGCCCCGAGTAGATCAAAAAGGCTCAAAAAATTGCATGAAGGGTGGTTTCCGGAGTTTCCGGTCCTGGTAGTGAATGTGACACCTATTATTTGGAGGAAATTCGGATGCTTTAACCTAAAATGCAAAAATTTTTTCACCACAAGTTGAACCTTGGACCATGTCTTCACCAACTATTTTGACATGCATAGAGCCGATCAGCGGAAATGGTCTTTGTTCCGTAGTCCACGAATGAGTTCCTAAAGAATGCAGAAAACCGTTTTGAAAAAAAAAATGACTCCACATCCTGGAAGACCTCCTCTATCAGGCTGCTGCAGGAAGCAGTTTCGTCTATGCTTCACACCTGAGATGTGAGAGCGCTTGTGTGCTTGTCAAGACAAGTCACCGAGCGTTGTTTTCTCAGGGTACCAAACATGCGCTGCGGTGTAGGCTTTTGATCCAAGTTCGGCTAGCGCAATTCTCCACCAGCAATCCATCGAGTTATCTGAGCCAGAATAGCTCATTTTGTCTTATAACGACACCAATCATCGTAGAATTATTCGATTCTTCCCGTCTGATGGTTGTTTTTCAAACATTTCCAAAGAATGCGTGGTCTCATCACATGATGAAGAAGCTATTTTACAGACACGCATTATGTCGTCCGAGAAGGAGAGGAATGATGCAGGCCAGGAAGCAGCACCGTTTTCATAGGCACTATTTCATGCCGGTTGATTACTCATTTCCGCTATAGTCATCATTCGTCTTATTGCTAGATAGCCTCGGTTGTAGTCTCCTCCATCACAATGATCGGGAAAAAAATTCGATTTTCATCAAAGCCATTGGTTTTGAGCGTGTGAGAGCAGTCGGCGTCAATATTTGTTCAAAAACCTCGTCAAAAGCCATTGCGTTTGTGTGACAATTCTGTGAACGGCTTTTGCCTTTTCCATTTTTTAGAACAAAGACCTCGTCGGCTGAGTGTAGAGATGATCTCACAAGGAAGTGGGATCCCCTACGATTTTACTCCTCAATTCACGATGTCTTATCGAATCGCATGAATGAGTAAGCCACACACGCACAACTGCGCCGCAAGAGTCTAAGCGTACAAAGATAAACGACCCTTTTATGCGCATCGGCACGGAGGTCTTCGTGGGTCGTTGGATGACCGGCAAAGGTTCATCGTGCCCTCAAAGGACTCTCTGAATTCTCTGTATACGGCTTATCTTATTCATTCCTCACTGAATATACCTTTCCGCTAATTTCCTCATACCCAAATATCGCGCAAGATTTGATGGTACTGGACTACACTGCGTTGCAAAAATATAAATCCACCTGGAAAGTTCTTGAAAATTCGCATGATAGGGTGTTTCTGAAAAAGCCTTTGAAAGAAAAATGTGCTCAATATAAATATAATTTCGAGTGTAAACACCAACTTCCATTTCGAAAACACGAAAATTTTTTATTTTCATTTTTCAGAAAAGGGCCACTTTGCCGATTGTGCAAAAATATAAATCCACCCCATGTTTCTCGGTTGAACTTCATTGTTATTTGGCGTAACTGTCAGGTTGTTTCCACTTCCTCTTTCTTAGGTGATGACGGAAGTAACACCGCTGTCGGGCTCAGAAAAAAAGGCAAAATCTACAAAATAGTGGGGAGATTTGCCATGCAGTCAAATCGCGCGTGATTTGAGCCCCGTTAACGTGGTTGTTAAGCATTTCGTCAGGGGGGGGCGGGGGGGACACGTGCAGATGTGGAATCAGAAGCCTCGACTCTCCCTTCTTCCGCGTTTCGCTGAACGATGACCGTAGTGTTATGGGAAAAGCAGCCGATTCTCCGAAGGGGTGCTCAGGAGCTCAACCTTCAAAAACAACCTAATTTCTTGAACCGTTTTCCGTGTGTTAGAAGAACTCTGAGACCACTCTTCGGCGAAAACAGTGCCAGTTGCAAGACAGTCAGCATGCAAAATAAACGCAGTTTTCCAACGGTCGATCTGGCCGGAGCGAGGCAATTTGGCCGCGCAGTACCTTTTGATGGCTGTCTTCACTTTTCTTACTGGTTTCCTTTTTCAATATGAGTTCCTGTCTCTGCCAAACACACTGCAGAAAAAAAAACTGAGAGAAATTCAGACAGACAGTAAAAAGTAGCGTGTAGAAAGCCGAACTTAATGCAGCTGGCGCAGCATGCACACATTATGGAAGAGTTGGCTTGATTTTTGGGATGGCTTTGTGTCTTAACTGTGCATACTCTCAGCAGGGTCAACCCTACGTTGTTACGAGTAACAACGGGGGGGTCGTACCTGGTTGAGTTTGTAGGAGGGGGGGTCGTACCCACTTTAGTCGCTCGAAATCACGTGTGGGAGTTGAGGAGAAACCGAGATTCCGTGGGTAGTAGGTTGTGCGAGTAGAGGGCGCGCAAGATAAAAATTTGCCGTTTCAGCCGGCGTATATACCCCCCTAGAAAAGGAAACAGTGAGATTATAGGGAGAAATTGGTGGAAATTTAGGGGAATTGTGGGAAATTATGGGAAAATTTTTACTGTTTCAGAGGGACTATATACCCCCCCCGCTCGACGGCATTTTTGGAGGAAAAAGTGGGCGGAGTTTTGAGGGTTGAGTGGTAGTGGAAGTTAGTGTTATAGAGAGGAATATGGTGATCGAGGTGTCGGAAGGGGGGTCGTACCAAATCCACCTTGGGGGAGGGGGGTCGTAAAAATTTTTCGAATAGTAACAACGATAGGGTTGACCCTGGCTCGAGTGTCGGAGATTGAGTTCTAACCACGAAAAACAGTTCAAAAAGTTAGGTTTTTTTTTTGAAGGTTGATTCCTGAGCACCCCTTGGGAGAATCGGCTGCTTTTCCCATAACACTACGGTCATCGCAACGAAACGCGAAGAAAAGGGTTCAGTGCTCTTCTGGATTCCACATGCTGCAGAGTTCCTGACGAAATGCTTAACAACCACGTTAACGGGGCTCAAATCACGCGCGATTTGACTGCACGGCAAATCTCCCCACTATTTTGTAGATTTCGCCTTTTTCTGAGCCCGACAGCGGTGTTACTTCCGTCATCATCTAAGAAAGAGGAAGTGGAAACAACCTGACAGTTACGCGGGCAATACAAGAACCTCACGGAGAAACATGGTGGAATTATATTTTTTGAAGCGTCAGAACAGAATCATATGAAAAAGTAAACAGTAGGAAAAGTGAAGACAAGCATCAAAAGTACTGCCACACCAATATGCCTCTCGCCAGATCGCCACGTTGGAAATTGTTGATTTTTAGTGATTCTTGATTTAATCTACACACTCGTTTTCTGTCTAAACGTGTCTCATAGTTTTCTACACACGACAAACGGTCTTTCAATATTATTTTTGATAGTTGAGTTACTAGCACTTTGAGAATCGGCGCTTTCCTATACCATTACGTCATGCATCCGAAACGCAAAGGCTCAGGCTTTTGGATTCCACATGCTGCAGGAGTTTTGACGAAATGCTTAACAACCATGTTAAGCGGGCTCAAATCACGCGCGATTTGACTGCACGGCAAATCTCCCCACTATTTTGTAGATTTTGCCTTTTTTTCTGAGCCCGACAGCGGTGTTACTTCCGTCATCACTAAGAAAGAGGAAGTGGAAACAACCTGACAGTTACGCCAAATAACAATGAAGTTCAACCGAGAAACATGGGGTGGATTTATATTTTTGCACAATCGGCAAAGTGGCCCTTTTCTGAAAAATGAAAATAAAAAATTTTCGTGTTTTCGAAATGGAAGTTGGTGTTTACACTCGAAATTATATTTATATTGAGCACATTTTTCTTTCAAAGGCTTTTTCAGAAACACCCTATCATGCGAATTTTCAAGAACTTTCCAGGTGGATTTATATTTTTGCAACGCAGTGTAGAAGATTTGGCAAGTACACGCCGTGTTAGTTTCGCGGTTTCTAAAGGTATCGCTCTTTGTCTATGTGTCGATTCTGAGATGTCTAGGTCTTTCTCACGTTGAGCGAAAATCTCATCTTTGATTTTCTTGTTTCATGTCAAGATTTTTTCCCAGCCACGTTTCTCTCTTCGCTTTTCCGCTATTGACATTCGTTTTGTTTGAGTTGGCGTGACCCCAGCTCGTCTGTAAGTTCCTGGCCATGAGATTGATCACCTTTCATCTCATTGTGTTCACTTTCTGAATGCACTTGCCCGGACCACTTTCTCGTGAGAATATTGACGGTTTTTTCTTCCTTCAGTGCAGAATAAACAAAAAAGTCTAGAAGTTGAACAGAATAGCTGCTTCCTTTATAGAAGCCGGCGCAGCGAAATTCAAAGGACATTGCGTGATCACCGTTTTTTTCCCTCTCATTTACACTACGAACTTTCAAATTCAATGCATGCATGAGGTTTTTCTGCTGGTCTCCTCAGTATGCCCGCCACTAGCAATGCGTATTTCATCCGATCTAAGTAACAGCCCACATTTCACGTCTGAACTTCTTCAAACCCTCTACAGCATCGCCATTGGGACGTCGCTATAATTCTTCCCTAGGTTTTACTCCCAAGACTTCCAATCAATTTCTTAGCATAGTACGTTTAGTAAAACGCTGTTTTTATTTGGGTTACATCAATCCAGTTGTTACCGCTTATGCATGAGCTTTGTTTTCTTGTCGTCATAAACCACCAGTGGTGATTACTGTATAGTTCTTGCAACCACATTATGAGATCGAAGAAAAAGCGTCTGTAGTGGTGGCGGAACTCCGTTGGCCCAGCCCACTAAACACTTCAAGCGTGCTCTCATCCGCATTCGCGCGCCTTTTCAGAGGCAAAGAAATCCTGGACCTACTTCATCTCGTTTCAACTTCGTCCCAGACTCTTTCTTATTGAGAAGCTTGGCCATCTGGCCGTTTTTTTTTTCAGGAAATTAACGATTTTTTTCATTGCTTCGCGTGCCCTCTGAGCAAACAGGTGACGCATCACAGGACAACCGAGCACCTTTACCTCGTTCTCCTTGTCTCTTCGGTCATTCTTATAAACACACAACTTCTTCTCTTGCCGTTCTCGTCCATTTTTCAGTTTTTCTAAATCGCATTCAATGGAGCTTTCAGATGACAACCACAGAGCCCATCGCCAAGAACACCTCACCATTTCTATCTATTTTCCATCGGAAAAAACGCGTTAATGGCACGAAGTCTAGCGACGACATTAAGGTCGCCGTGGGAATACCCAGGGAACAGGTAACCAGCTTCGATTTTACTTCCCTTTTTTGTACCAGTTCATAAGCAATAGTAAATCGATCTATACATCATATACTTGTTCCAGTTTTTCCCTCACAGAGTGTTTGAACGGGTTACATAGGCGCAATTGAATTTTTTTCCGAAGGGAATAAAAGGATTGCAAAGTGTAACCGGAATCGAAATAGGTTTTTAGTCACTCAGTCATTTGTCCTTTCCGTGAGACCCCTGCCACAGTGGAGTTTGCGGGAAGTGGTGAGACCGTTAGGCCATCGAACTTCGTTAGTAACCCGTAAAATCGCTGGCCGATTGATTGTGTAACAGTGGCAAATGTAAGATGATTACAATATGTAGTTGAATTTTCAATAGTACACGTGTCCATCTGCTACTATCGTAGTTCGGATCTTTATGTCACATGAGAATGAGTGATAACAACAAGGCCGACGATGAGGCCGATCTCCAAGTCATAACCAATCCATTCTGTCCACTACACGACTTCCACGATGAACACATTCATAGTTGAATAGCATCGTATCGATGGCGTGCTGTCGGCGAGCCGATAAGGATGACGACGGAAGTGTGACTGGGCAGCCTCACTTCTGGACATTTGCCGAAGATTAAATCGAAAACGCATGTGGAACACGAAGTTTCCAAGCATTATGCTCTAAAAACGGGCATACGATTCGAGAATCGGGCCCTGTAGCCGAGAGGGGAGGGGTTTCGACCTCCGTTGAACAAAGAGGGCTTTTAATAGATAACTTCAAAATTTTACCATATGGCGAAGTCGATAGTAGAAGTAAGGAGTTCTGCTTATCAAAATCCTTCCTGATTCCTGGTTGATCATCACTCGGTTCAGAAGGGTGAAAGTTGAAAGAAAAGTTGTAAAGAAATTCCTTTCTCTAAAAAGATTTGGCGCACGAGACGGCCATTGCTTCGTGAATTTCACGCAATGACCGTAAACTTTTTTTGGAAATATTCTCCATTAGGGACGTCTAAAAAACCTCCGGCCAAACAAAGTACTCTAAACGTTCTGCCCGAAAATCGGGATTCAGCGACGGACTTTTTGTGCTCCATGCTGCGATCTTTCCATTCAGAAAAAACTAGCACGCGAGTACTTGAGAGAACATTAGTCCAATACGAATAATTCGTTGTTCCGATTTCTTCTTGCCAACGTCCCGCATTTTGGAGAAGATTTGGAGGACTAACTTTTTAGAAGCTTTTCTCTTTTGCTTTCCCATTCTTGAAAGAAAAAATGAAATTAGGACCTTGATCAGAAATCGTTCAAATGTTCGTAATTTTTGAAAGTTTTAAGGTATCTTCAAAGCAATCACCAGCGAATGCTTCACTTGTTTCTTTTTAGGCTTCCTCGATTGTTTGAAAGAATGGTGTCCTTGTAGATCGCCGCAAGCGTTCAGTTTGCGGCACGAAGTGGTAGGAGGGCAGCTAAGACCCAAGGTTGCTACTAACTCATGACACTTTGAAATCTTAGGCACTGTCTTCTTTTCGCTCGCTCCTAAGCCATGTCGCCTTCTCGATGCTTGCAAGCTTATAAGCTCATCCAATGTTAAAATCCACCTTAGAAGTACAGAAAAATTATAGCATTTTGGCTGTACCCTTTCATTTTTCCTCTAGTGGAATGCTGTTGAGCAGCTGTAGTTTCATTTCAAACTCCCTCTCACATACTGCTGCCGTTCAATGAGCCCACAAATATCAGTAGTCGCATTTGTACCATTTTCGAAGCTCTGAGCTCTCAAACAGCGTTCAGAAGCTGCATAAACCTCATCAGACGGCACAAATTCCAAAAATATTATGGCTTCATTACTACTTTTACTACTATTACTTCACTAAGATTTGACACTGATGAATGTAGCAATATCGTTAGAACAAAAACTTCTTCCCGCTCCATCCATTGTAATGCCTCATTCATATTCAATTGCTCACAAAAAGGTATACACTGGGAGGTTCTCAAGTGGGAAGAATCGTAGACTTTTTCAGATTTCGTGCGGCGTGTCCGCCCTATTCGTCGCGGCTACTCTAGATAAATAAGTAATAAATGGGCCTGGCCGAGGGATTTCCGCTAATGATTCGTGTGCCCGCAAAACATTGGTCCCTGCGGCTGAACTCAGGCGTGCCGACGGGTTTCTTGAAGAAGGATTCGTAGAACAAGTGGTCTCTAATTTTCCCAAAGAAGACGTCGTACTCGAGCCACAATACCTCCGAGGAAGGACGAAAATCACTTCGAAAGCTGTAATGAAAGTGGAGGGAAGTGGAAGAACTCTATTTCACGGATTCTTCTCCAACATTTAGGAAAGGGGAACGATGGACCAAGATTCTTGCAGCAAGACCAAATCAGAATCACTGCCCTTTTCTTTGGTTAGGATTGAAAAGGAGAAATCTGCAAACTGCTCTGCCTACTAGGCACCATCTTTCAAAATGTGGCCCTGTTTCCGTCCCAAACTATGGTAGGAATTGGGTGGAAAATCGGTTCGTAACCATTTCTGAAACACTCTTTCTCGGATCTCACATTGATTCACATTCTCAAGGTATCAGTTATTTGGTGTTTCACCAGTGTGTCGTGAATTCTGTCAATTTTTTGATAGCCCTTGTGCGTGGGTAATCGTCACCCCTGCGCAATCCATAGGAGCAGGTTCAGGTCGTCCGTTGTTCCAATTCCAAAAATTTGACGATCTCCTCTCGGAGGGTTATGGGAACATTGCTAAAAAGCGGCAGACGTTCTATTAATTTGGCCTATTTCACTCTCCTCGTGAGCATTCCTAAAAACCCGCTGGGGACAGCCCTCTCCCCAACCATCTCCTTGACTCCAACCTCGCACAGGAGTGGTGGTCCCGAACGATTTTCAGCATTTTGAGGTATTTCGAATGAGTTTACGAATGAGGTTATGGAGTGGGATGCTTTTATTTGCTTCACTTCAAGTCGTCCGTCTAATAGGCGATCGGCAGAATTCACGGCACATTGGTAAAAGAACGTAGCGAGAAGTCGGATTAAGCAAATTCATTCCTGCACGGCACACATTCGTTAAATGATCGTAAGAAATTGTAGTTAAAGGCAAAGTTTGGGCTCAGACCCACCTAAGAAGCCCTTACCATGGCTAGAAGTGCTGGGTGCAAAGGTAGCGCCACCTACATCGAAACGCGTCACTAGGACCCTAGGCGCCATGGACTTCTAACAGACTCCACCAAACTTAACATGGTCCGCCCACCGTTCGATATCTTGTCTGCGTCGCCACGTTGATCTGCTATGCTCTCTTCTCGGACTTCTCTCCGCGCTCACATTATCTCTCATCTCCCTGCCTGTCTTTTGAACTTCTCCACAGCATGGAGCAAAATGCTCGTATTTCCTGTGTATTTCAGGATTTTCTTTCCTTTTTTCTCCACTGGCGGTCCACCTCCCATCCCTACTTTCACATTTGAGTGGAATCAACCCATCAATTTAATCCTGATTCTTGCCTTTAAGCCGAATTCTCTTCGATCAACAAAACTCGAAAACCCAGAAATAACTTTGCTTTCATTTCTGCAGGAAGACGCACTTTTTCCGCAGTGCTTTTTTTTGCTCGAAATAGGTTTCTTTCGAATTTCTTTATCCGCAAAAAAAAACAAAGTAAAAAAATAAAATGTGAGTCAAAGAACTCTGGTCAATTAAACAACGATGAACTTCGCTGAGCGTATTTATTCATGGGGCCTTTTATAGTTTGGCAGGCAATTTCCGTTACATAAAGCTACCGACATCCAGTGCGAAGGTCCAGTTTGTGTAGGTGACCGCATACTTCTTCGTTTTCATGAATGATTTGTTGGACATTTTTGAACCAGCAGGGCTGATAGTTACGCAAAGAGATCGGATCAATTCAACTACGCTAAGCACATCGAATGATCACATCGCTGAGCTTGTACCAATAAGCGAATTTCAGGGTTATTTTTTCATAATCTTTTAATCTAAAATCATTGAATTACTGGATTAACACACTCATAAGTAGTTTGTACTTTTGCAATAGAGGCCAATGCTTTCACAGCTGACGCTGAAGAGTTCAATTTCAGACCACAGAAACTGCAGCAGAGAAAAAGCGAAACACAAAAAAGCACGAATCGACCACACTCCCTGCAAAGTTGGATAGCAAGAAAAAGAAGCACAAACCGATAAGTCAACAACCGAAGGTAATAACAGCTTGAGAGCTTGCTTTTTCACATTGATTGCCAACTAATACGAGGAGTTCACTTTCATGCAGCAATGCAACAGAACGGGAAATGATGTTGGGAGATCAAAAGGCTTCGAAATTCTAGTGGAAGTCAAAGCTGTCTGTTTCTTTGTAGTAATTTTGCAGATGAATATGGACGATTTCACTCGCTAAATTACCAAAAAGCTCATATCTTCAAGTTTTAATTGTTTACAAGAGGGGAGTTTAATTAAAGGCAAGCTCCCGGATTAACCAGGTGTCGAAGAGCGTATACTAGTAGTTGAAGCTGTAGGTGGGGGTGGTCTGGAAAAAGAAAAAGCAAACGAAACCACCGATTACGCCCCGAATAGGACCTCCCTATTTCAGCCGCATTCCACCTTGGGATAGAGAAGGGCGTGTTGGACGAGTTTCACGAGCCTAGCTCCAGTTGCTCCAGTGCCAATGACATTGAACCGCAATGGAACCGCTGCCGCAACTGCGCCCGCGCTTTTCAAGCGGCAACCGACAGTGTAAGGAGGGGCTTGTGGACGAAGGAGTAGAATGCGGGTCCAGCGAGCTTCCAGCACCTTTGTCGCGCACTTTCAAGCATCAAAAGGGGGCGATACACTGTGTAGCCTGGTTTGCCACGCTCTGCATGGGACAGGTGGGCCTGTCTAATCCAAGAGCGTTCTCAAATAAGTCTTCAGAATATGGAAGCGTAGTTGGTAAGCTGAAACAAGATTCACAGTAACTTTTATTAGGTCACCTTTTCGGTGCTTTCACCTTCATCAGAGTCTGGCGCGAGAAAGTCATTGATCGTGAACTTTCCGCCGAACACCTTGTTCACTACAAAAATATTCATACAGGGTGTAAAGTACTAAGTGCTGCCGTTGAGGAAAATGAAAAAGGATCTCAGAGATGCTGACTGAAGAGGTCCACCTGCCACCCCGAGCTGGTAATAAATATCTGTTTTAAATAACTAAGGCTTTCAGGTCATTTGCTTAAGTCCTCTGAGGTTGATCATGTAGATTCAACATACTCAAAGAGGCTCTCAGAGACTAAAGGCACGCTGACCCCTCCCATTCTTAGTGTTTGATTTGCGCGGAGCCCGACCCCGCCACGAAGACGGGATATGATCACGATATGGTAATTCACAAAATTCGCTTTCGGTCGACATGTGAAGACCAATTGAATATTAATCGAGCATAAATTAATCGAGCAGAATTTATAACTTGATAAAGTAATTTATTGAGAGCATCGCCTTCAAAGTGAAGAATAGAGTTGATGCTTTCTTGAATTCGCCAACTATTTCAGTCCTTGTCCTTCGATGTCCTCCTTGAGGAGGATCCAGCTGTACTGGTGGAGGCTCTGGAAACGATAGCTGCTGAACAGCCAATAGTCGCCCGCAGTATTCCGAAACACACGCAAAAATCACTAAACGGGAAGATCGGAGCATGCGAAATTGCTTATTCGAGCAAGAGGTGAGGAATTTCGGATCTATACAAAATCCAGCAGGAGTATAAATTATACTTTTATTCATTGTCTAAGTACTTTAAAACCACAAGAAATCTGCGGAAAGGAGCAATGTGTTGATTTGGACTCGCTCCCGCAGCTCCCATTAGACGGATCTTAAACAACAAAGAGAGCATAAGCTTGACCTCATCACTTAAAGCAACAGTCCAGGCAGGGTGGGCGTGGTTGGAGACGACGGCAATCCCCTCGGCCGATTTCCTTTTTGGAGCTATACAGCCCCAGCCATGAACATAAGAAGTGTTAGTGAACAAAAACACAACCTTAGGAAGCAAACAACGAAATGATTGATACAGAAGTAATAAACGGATCAATTAATCCTTCCCAAGCTAGTTGGAGAGATAAGGAGTAATGTCCGTATTACGTACCTTAAAGTTCGGTAGCCCAGTCAGTAGTGAGCAGACGATTTTTGGCTCATTTTCTCCCATTATGGTTTTTGAATTGCAGACGTAATTGGCGATAAAGAATCTGTACGTATTGATAAGATGACCTTTTTGCAATGAACTTCTGGAGCAGTGCTTTCACATTCGGATCAGCGTAAGGCTTCTGGATTGCACAACCTTACGTAGGAGCGAATGAGCTGCCTTCGGTTATGGCACAGAATTACGTCTTTATGTTTTCCTACGGCAAAGAAGGTTACTTTTCGAATGTTAGTAACGCGCTTCAAGTGGCAATCAACTCTACTTTATTTCGGAGAATATTCGTCATTTCAATCCCCTTGGACTTCAGTTCCCTACATTTATGGGCGTTTATTAGTCTCAGTCTATCTTATTACTGTTTCCGACTCCCAGAATTTTCACAAAAGCTTCAGCTTGGTGCCATGGGTCCTGTTGCAAACCCGCGCCATAAGGATCGCAGCAGCTCACAATTATGCAGTAGCACATTTCGCACAATTGCACTGGAGTTAGTGTGATTCTACGAGGAATTTGAAAACGTGTGGCGGGAGTGATGTATGTAGTAGCAAATTATGTAGCTCACTATGCACATGGTTTTGAAATAGAATCTGGGGATTCCGTCCCAAGCAAGAAATTCCTCTATTCCTTGGATCAGTCATTTAATAGCAAGCTCATCTGGGAGAATAAAAGCGCGGATTTGTGCTTGAGGCGATTAACAAAATCCACATCCTGCAGGCTGGATACCCATCCAATTGCCAGTACAGTTCTAAATGGATCGAATACGTGGCGCATCCAAAGGAATATTTGATCAGTTCCGATATCCCTAATTTTTTCACTTTGTTGACATATTGAAATTCGTTTGTCCGTGATGGGCCATCACTGCACTTAATTTCAACCTAAGCTGTTTACATGACCGCCACTCGACCTTTGTGCAGGCACAAGCTCACGATCATGGAAATTTGATTTTGAACGTATTTTTTCGCACATTTGCAACCTTGAATACATTACCAACGTAGATTGGCAAAGTGTCAGTTACTGAGAACTTGTTGCAATTTTGGAACGATTTGGAGGAAAATTTCTTACAAAATTGCTCTGAAAGCCTTATGTTGTGCAACTACACCTTTAGGTTCTGGTAAGTACTGTATCAGTAGGGAGCATCAAGCCTAATTAACAGCTCTTTCAAAACTCCAGTCTGAACATCTTGGAAAGTGATGATACCGTGTATGAACGGACCTTGAGTTAGAATGCCACGTAAAAACTTGAAAATTTTGAAATTCAAGTTTTTCGAAGAGTTTTATTTTCAATCAATCTTATCATATCTTTCCTATTTTTTCAATTTCAGGTGTACGACTCAATGTTAATTGACTCGTTGCGCGTATGCGATATGCTGCAAACACATCTCGACGAATGTTATCACATCGGTTCGGGCAAAGAGCCCAGAAAATTGCCACGATACTTCGCAGGTGGCGTCATTTTTCATAAAAAAGCTCTTCACTCCGCGGTTCTCCGATCGCTTCGCTGCAAACAACATGTTTGTATGAAAAGTACTCTGAAAATCGATCGAAACAATTTTACATTGCTGAACTGTTTACAGGATGGGCGAGATTCCGGTCGAGGAGCCTCATCGGCTTCGTCAACGATTTCCAGCAGCCCTGGCGTGAAGCGACCTTTGAAGTCATGCATACGTGCAGATCTCTGACATCCAGTTACAGATCAATAATGCAGCTTACAAGATGTCATTGAACGTCAGTTCGTTTTTCAGTTCGTTTTTTTATGATCGCTGTTCGATTGAAAACATCATTTCAGAGTTCCGGGTTTCGATTTCTGTACAGGCTCTCAAACCACATTAGTCGACCACATCGCAATAAATGGAGATCAGATCACACGGATATTTGCATAAAAGTAAAATAAAATTTTAGCGAAATTAATTGACCGGTCAGTCGGCTAGTGCGTCGCGACCGCACGCGTCGCATCAGCCGCAAAGACTTTATGGTATATACCAGAAAATTAACGCAATTCC